GAAGATTACGTCGGTGCCCCTCGCGGAACGACGCGATTGCAAGCGGGAGATACGGTGATTTTATACGGCCCGCGCGACATTCTTACCAACCTCGACGAACGCCGCGCTGGATCAACAGGAAACTGGGACCATCATAAAGCGGTCGATCGCCAACTCAAAGCACAACGCGAGCAAGCCGAGAAGGATGCAGAAGAGGAAGAGAACGCAGCGAAATGAATGGCTTGCGTTTTTACATTTTGTTGGGTAGCTGCGAGATGTATCGGGTGAAGTGAGATTCGAGTTGCGAGATATCGCGGCCGAAGGCTTCTTGGAAATCGGCGAGACGCTGCTGAGGCGTGTATTCTTCTTCCGCCGAACGTGCTGCCACTTTGCGAACGTAAGCAGCGAACTCGCGTGGCCGGGTCTCGATGAGATAGAAGACCATGGCCCAGCCTTCTCCGTAGGCAGTGCTAGGCCGATTGTAGTAGGCGTCGTCTGTGGCGACGAACTGGGCGAGCGAGTCGGGCGAACGCTTGGTTTTCATGTACTCGAGGAATTCCAACATTCGCGTCTTGTTTACGCGATCTCGAAACTGAGGATTGTTCCGCGAATCCCAAACGCCCGGCGCCTCGAACATGGTCGCGAGACCTTCGACAAGCCACTTCGGTTGCGGGGCATAGCGACTGTGGATTCCGGTGTTGAACGCGGTTTGGTGGGTCGCCTCGTGGATGATCGTGGCCATGTTCTCTTGCCACATCGGATTGTCGTGGTGGCCGTGCGTAACGTCGTACAATGCCACTCGGTTAGTACGTGACGAGTAGTAACCGACGGTGCCTGGGCTGACCCGCATGCCATCCTTGGCCGCATACAACTGATAAGACCGGAAGTCCGGGAAGACGACAGCGACTAAAGGGAACTCGCTTTTCACGGGCTGAATCCCGCGAACGGTAAAGTAGTGATGAAACGATCGGAACAGCTTCTCAAACTGATCGGCCCACTCATCCTCTTGGCCGGCCGGATGCACGACGAGATAGTTGCCGGTTCCCGTAACGTCGTATCCTTGGCCGAACTCCGACAGCAGCAGTCCACGCATCTCGTTCTGACGCATCGGTCGAAACGGCGTTTGCAATTGGGCATAGTTGGAAGCGCTTTGCGGAGCGAAGTCCCACATCTGTCCATCACGCCCCAACATAATGACGCGTTGCGGGCTTGCTAGCACGGGAGTGGCTTGAATCGTTTCGTTTTTCAGATCCAACTGGATCATAACGGGGTAGGTCGGCCCTTGGGCCTCTGCCTTCGGCGTGCAATTTTGCGTAGAATGCAGTCCGAGAAGAAATCCCGTGAGCAGGAAAATTTGTAGCGACTTCATAGCCGTTTCCAGGGTTTACTAAGTAGTGGGACCGTTATGACCTTACAAGGGTAGGTTACGCTGAATAAAAAACCCCTACAAATGAGGGGGAAAGTTTCGAAGAATTCGCTGGAATCTCATCGCCACAATCCCTAGAATGAACGCTCACCTCATCTCAAATTGACCTTATCCGGAAGAAATTCCTTACCCTATTCATGGCCGCGCTTCGAACCATCATGTGGGTGGGCCTCTTGCTTGCGCTTGTGGCACCGCTCTACGCTCAAGATGTCGAACCTAGTATGTCGGACCAAGTGAAAGCTTGGGCTCGCCGTCTAGACTCTGACACGCTGGAAGATCGCGAACGCGCTGAGCGACAGATCATCGAGCTAGGACACAAAGCTCTTGAGTACCTTCCCGAGGTCAAACCGAGTACGGCTGCCGAAACCAAAGCTCGTCTCCAGCGTATTCGCACCGTTCTGGAAAAGAAGCGAGCCGACAGCGCCGCCAAGGCATCTCGCATTACGCTGTCCGTAAAAGACAAACCCCTGGCCGATGTCTTAGGGGCAATCCAGGAACAGACCGAAAACAAGCTTGTCGACTATCGCTCGAACTTCGGCCAGCGAGCCGACGGCACCAAGGTCAGCGTCGACTGGGAAGACGTTCCGTTTTGGGAGGCGGTGGAAGATCTATTCGCCCAAACCAATCTTGAAGCGTATCACT